TTTGGGGGCTATTTCTCTGCCTGCCACAGAATGCTAGCTACAACTCATACAAGCAAAGCTCTTTGGGTCCCTCAGTCATTTTTAAGAGTATAAAGGGTCCTTACACCAAAACATTTGAGAACCAATTGCTCCAGCATATGAATAGATTAGGTGGGAAAACTAAAACACAGAAAAGCTCAGTGATTAACCAAAGCCGAACAGCCTGTAAGCAGACATTCAACTTGAAGCCAGGTGTTCCGGCTACTGATGAACCTCGTACGGCTCCCTCTATGCCGTGCTTCCCACCCCGAACACCCGGACTGAGACAAAGGCAAATAAAAATTAATTTTGTGAGCATGTTTGCAGGCATCAGACAAAGGGCGTGACAACAAGCATTCAGATGTGAACTTGGTGAGCAACAGGGAAGGCAGGTTGGAGGAGAAGGTTTTTAAAACAATCTTACTTTTCAAAACCTTCTTTAGAAATACACAAATTTATGATGTCACGTGAGAAAGGAGGAAAATGTTACAAATGGCCAAGTATTCCAGTGCCGAGCCTGAGAGAGGTAACTGTTCTTCATCTAGAGGAGCACGATCAGGACCATAGCTCATGAGACCCAGGGAGCGTGTGAAACAAAACACAGCTCTGGATCACGTGATGGGGCCTGGTGACCAAACTCAGATTTATGGTCACTCGTCTCGACAACGTCTGCCAAGCCCCAGTTTTGACGGCCTAACTGAAAAGGACACCTGAAAGACCACGTTCTTGGGCTGTCCCTCTGCACCCTTTTGATACAACCAGAGCCACAATTTTGCAGCAGGAAAGAAACTGCACTCAGGTGAACTGTGTTCAAATCAAGCTAATGACCCAAATCACAGCCTTCAAGGGAATATACATATTTACAGTTAAAAGAGGGAAACTGGGAGGCTCAAAGGACCAGTTCTTGCTCTACCAAATGAACTGCCTGGCCCAGGCCACAGAACTGGGGGTGGTGGTAATCAGACCCATGCAGTGTGCACCTGTGAATGATGGCTCTCCAGCCTAGAAGGCCAGGCAGGGCCTCCTCAGGAACCACTGGCCTCACCTGGTAAACTTCTCCAGTTCTACTTCATCTCTTTCCCAGCTCTCCAGCTGAAGTTTCTAGACTGCTCAGCTAACTAAGCCAAACCAGCAGTAGTACCTGAACTGCCAGCCAATAACCCAAGCATATGAGGACACAGAGTAAGTAACCACTCATTAGAATTTGTTATCCAAGGGAGGAAAAGCCACAGAATTATCTGGTATTTATATCTTCCAAGTGAAAGTATGGGTCCCACAGAAGGCAGTCCCTCAAAGAATCTCTAGTCACAGAGCTCAGCATTCCCTGGGAATGTTTTCACTGCCTGCTTTTTCTAGGATTACACTAGTATTACAAAAATACAACCTGTAACCTACAAAGATTTTGCAGATTAGAAACATTCCTAACATGTCACTGTTGTCACAAAATCCTAATCCACACACCCCTGTCAAATCTGTGTAGCCTCTGAAAAGGTATGATTGCCTACAGGTGATGTTTCTGCTGCAGAATGACTAAAAAACTATCAAATCAGCATTCTCAGTTGACATCTATTTTGAAATAATTTTTTTTTCATGTGCCAAAGCACAAGGCAAGTTAACATTTTATAGACCAAAAACTTCAAGCTGCTTTCTATGTCCATTAAGGGGATATAGAATGTAAGGTCATGGAGTTTACAGAGATGATGCCCCTTATTCACAACAGCAAACATCTATTTTCTCTACTCTCCATCTGCAGGCAGAGATCCACATTATCTAAGATACCGAACAGAAAGAAAAATGACACTTTAACAGAAAATAGACTAGAACTCTGTTCTTATGAGTTACTCTAAAAGTAGTGAATACTGTCTTCTTCCAACTTCCAAGAAGTAAATATTCAATGGATCAACTAGAAAAAGAACCCAGGCAAAAGTGGAAGGATAGAGTATGTGATATGAATACAGATGTGGTTTACCTGGCTTTCAAAGAGATCAGTATTTCATTATTTTCCAGTCCCTTGGTGAAATAAAGTAATTTACCATGTAAAGTTTAAAGGATTTAAGAAAACTGATAGGGCTTCCCTGGTGGCGCAGCGGTTGAGAGTCCACCTGCTGATGCAGGGGATGCCGGTTCGTGCCCCGGTCTGGGAGGATCCCACACGCCGCGGAACGGCTAGGCCCGTGGGCAATGGCCGCTGAGCATGCGCGTCCGGAGCCTGTGCTCCACAGTGGGAGAGGCCACAGCAATGAGAGGCCCACGTACCGCAAAAAAAAAAAAAAAAAAAAAAAAAAAAAACTTTCTAACACATCCGGTAGCTCCAGGTAGAGAAACAAATCCCAAGAGGTTAAGAACAGTGCACTGAAACCTAAGCAAAGAAGAGAGCAGCAGTCACCCTGGAGACAACTACAAATACCAGCAATGAAATGAACAGGGCATCTAGACCTTTAGCTTTCAGCCAGGTGGGGAAAGCCCAACCTGAAACCAGGAATTCCAAAGGGAACAAAAGTGGTCCTGGTCCTGTAGCATCCTCCTGGCTCCAAATTTCAAGAAGTAAGGTCTCAAGATTCCAAGACATAATTATCAAAAAAGCCAAAAAAATTTATATCAAATAAGATATAATTATCAAACAAATACATAATTAAAATTCACCATGCACACTAGGAAACAAGCCACAGAAACAGATTTAGATCACCAAAGATTTCAGATACTGGCATTATCAAATACAGAATATGAAATAGCTCAGTTTGGTGCTGTTTAAAGAGATGAAAGATGGAGTAAAAAGAAAATGAGTAAGCAAAAAGACACCATCAAAAAAATATTCACACAGGTTTGCAGCAGCAGCAGAACCTTTAGAAATGAAGAAATATAATCACTGAAATTAAAAACTCAGTGGATGGGTTAAATAAAAGATTCAACACAGCTGAAGAGAGAATTACTGGACTGAAAGCTAAATCTTAAGAAATTACCCAAATGAAGCAGAGAAAGACAAGGAAGAAGATATCCAATATGAATTAAAAGACATGAAGAATAAAGAGAAGTCCTAACATCTATTTAATCAAAACCAGAAGGAGACAATAGAGAAAATGTAGGAGAGACAGTATTCAAAGCATTAATAGCTGAGAAATTTTCAGAGCTGATGAATGATGTGAACTCACAGATACATAAATCACAACAAATATAAACAGGAAGCTGTACATAAACATGTTGTAGTGAAACTGCAGTAATCCAACAACAAATAAGTAAGCCAAATCATCTACTAAAGAATGGCAAATGAAAGATTAACAGATTTAACAGCAAAACTGAAAGCCATAAGACAGTGGAATGGTATATTATACACTCACAATGCTGGGAGAAAAATAACTGTCAGGTAAGAACTCTGAGAGTGAAATAAAGACATTCTAACATAAATCAAAACTGAGAGAAGTTACCACCAAAATATTTTAAGGAAAGAAAATTCTAAAGAAGGCAAATCTCACCAGAGAAAAGGCAAAGGACAGAAGAAGGGAAGAGAAGCAAGATATAGTAAACACAGAGATAAAGTGAAACAAATACTATCTCTAATAACAATTGTCTAATTTGTATGGTGAAACATATAACAGAACTGACTGAAAAGAACACATAAGTACAGAAGAACACAGTCTTCATTAGGTGTCCTATGAGTTTTGTATTATTCTGGAAGGGGATAAGAGGACCTTAACTACTGATTAACTTTAAAACTATTAAGTGTACACAGTGTACTTTCAGGGTAATCATTAGAAGAATAGAAAGAAAATGCATAATTTCCAAATGAACAGAGAAAATATACTGAATGAGAACACAAATCAACAAAAACTTCAATCAAAGAGAATGAAGGTTAGCAATGAAACTGCAACATAGTTAAAAGAGAGACTGTTAGACTACATTTCAAAAACCAAAACCAAAAAAAAAAACCAGAAACAAACAAAACTGCACTAGCCATGCAAGAAAAGACTGAGAAGTTTCTCTACATTAAAGTCATAAACTCTGTTGTCCAAAGGACACTTAAAAAAAAAAGATGCTCAATTTCACCATTAATTAGGAAAATGTAAATTAAGACCACATGATATACTATTTTATACTCACTAGAACGGCAACAAAATACCACATGTTGGAAGGAAATGGAGCAACAGATAAACTATGATAGATTTTCAGAATAGAATTTTATTTAACAATAAAAATTAATTTAGTACCATTAATGTAACAAGTGAATCTTAATTCAACTGAGTGAAAAAAAATGAAAGCTGCAGAGTATTACATGCAATATATTCTTATCAAGCCTAAAAACAAGTAAAACTAGGCAATATATTGTTTGGATATATACATGGGCATAGTAATTATGTTCCAGAATGGAAATCAACTATCAACACTAAGAACACTGTTTAATTCAGCTGAATTTTACTTTTGGTAGCAAGACTTTCTCAGTGAAAAAGTTTCCAGGTTTATGCTCTATGACAAGCTCTTCATCTCATCTCAGACTGATTCTCTGACAAGCACTGGCCTAGACTCTTCAACTCCAGAGAAGGGGAAGACCTAATAACTGTAATCTTCCCAGATAAGGAGTCTCAATCAAAAGCAATTCCAGAGTAAAGGAAATGACTCCCCCAGGCCTCCCTGGAGCCTTCCTCCCTGGTTTACGTAACTTCAGATCTGGCAGGGCCCTTTTCTGTCATTTCCAGTGACTCAGGCAGACTGTTTCCTGTGCCCTTTGTTTTACGCATTTCTCCCACCCTGGCCTGTGTTGCCTTCCTCTTCCAATGAGGAAGCTGGCCTCTTCAATCCTTTCTCCTTCCTTCCCCAAACCACATTGGCCTTTCCTTGGCTGATTTTGACCTTGGGCAAGCTGAAGACCTCAAAGATCCCTCCATCCTTCAGAGCCTCACACACAATCTCAGAACAAAGCAGGAGAGATCCTGAGGAACTTCAGATCCATAAGATGTTTGAGAATGGATGAAACACTGAGTTTGACTTACGTGTTCTTTTATACACTCTCTGCTATCTCCTACTTCACTGTTCTTGAAATTCAGAAAATCCACAACTCCTTCGGTCACTGCAGCTTTGCCTAGAATAATAAAGGCAGGAAATTAGAAAGGAGGCAACCAGAAGGAACCGAGGGTCCAAGCGGAAAGAAACTCTCTTGTATGATCAATCTTGACATTTAAAAGGAAAAAAAGCCACCTGAATTAAGGAAAGTCTCTACCTTGGTCTAAGCCAATTTTCTTCTTTAACTGAAACTATTAATAGTAATTTAACGTTTGTAGAAGAATTCATCATTATTTACAAAGAGATTTCACATGCATTTTCTCATTTGAGCTGTAAGATATTGAGACTAGGCAAGTATTATCTTAAAATGCAGCAGCCAAATTTCCCAAAGGTTAGGGAACTTTCCAGTGATCATTCAGCCAGCAAGCATCAGAGGAGGAATTCGAACCACTTCTATGACTCCTTATTCCAAACTCTTCCACGGCACCAAATGATACAATGGTTTCAATTTGAAAAGCAGTATTATTATTTCTTCTTCCACTAGATATAGTGTCTTAAGCAACAGATATAGAAACGGCTTTGCCTCCTGAATGACAAAGACACTGCCATAGGATTAAACGTTTATTTACCAGAGACAACACAGAGGGTAGAAAATCCATACCAAGTTAGTTAAGAAACACATGTATCTTTTCCACATACCCTCCTTTTCTCTTTAAGTCATAGTTATAGTTGCTGGGCTTTATTTCTCTCTCTCTCTCTCTTTTTTGGAAACAATTTCAAGTTTAGAGAAAAGTTGTAGAATAATAATAGTACAAAGACTGCCATGTACTCTTTATCCATGTTCACTTGCTAATAACATTTAACGTACATACTTAATCATTCACTCTCTCTCTACAGACACACACATTCACTCAACATTTGTTTTATAAGCTTTTTTTTTGGCCGCGCGCCATGCATTATCCTAGGTCCCTGACCAGGGATCGAACCCATGCCCCCTGCCGTGGAAGGTCGGAGTCTTAACCACTGGACCTCCAGGGAAGTTCCTCACTTAACATTTTTCTGTTTCTGAGCCACGTGGAGATAAGTTTCATACATCATGGCTCTAAAAACTTCAGAATTTATTTCCTAAGAATAGGGATATTCTTACAAAACCATAATGTTGTTATTGATCTTAGTAAATGTAATATCGATACAATACTTTAATTGACCGCCATATTCAATTAACCCAATAATGCGTTTTATAGCATTTCTTTTTCCTCCAATTCAGGATCCAGTCCAGGGTAAGGTATTATATTTAGCTGCCATTAATCTGCGACACACAGCACTTTTTTATCTTTTATGACACTGACACTGACACTTTAGAAGAATATAGTCCTCCCCTTTTTTTATATTAATAAAACATTACCATTTTGACTTGTCTGACATTTCCTCATGATTCAATTCAGCCTATGCATTATCAGGCAGAAAACTACAGAGTTTTCTTCTCCTGGTGTCATAGCTGAAGGCATGTGAAGTCTATGTGCCCCTCCCTGGCGATATAAATTTTGATCACCCAGCCAAGGTGCTGTCCAATTTCTCCCAAGAAAAATTATTATTTTTTCCCTTACATCTAATAAGTAATCTGTGGGGAGACACTTTAAGACCATGCAAATATCTTGTCCCTCATCAAAATGTCCCCCTAGATTTAGCATCCACTGGTGACCCTTGCCTGATCTGAACTTTACTACCATGGCTACAACATGCTCATGGTTCCAACTCCAGCATTCCCTCCACATTACCATCCAGGACTCAGCAGTCTACACTATTTGTTCATCTATTTGTCAATTTATGATCAGTAAGGATATATGAAGTCCTACTTTTTCAACAATTTATAATTTATCACTGTACTTAATAATTTTGGTGCTCAAACTGTCTCAGATTTAGCCAGTGGGCGACCCTTTAAACTGGCTCCTTTACCTTTGTGACATGCCCCCATCATTTTTTTTTATTTTTCTACTTTTATTTCCTTACTTTCTGACATTAAAAAAAAAGTTCTAGGCTCATCTTGTACTTACTTTGTCTCTGCCCTAGATGCAGACATTTCTCTAAACGCCCTGGGTCCTTTCAGTGGAGAATGGTGTTATACAGACCAAGATCTAGGATAACCCTGTTTGAAAGGCATTGTCTAGTTCCACTGATTACTTTTCATTTTGAATGAGTCACATTTTCCTGCTTCTTTGCATGTTTTTCTGTTATAAGGTTGACAACTGGGAGGTGTTCAGTTTGGTTCTGATGGCAACTAAATTACTGGCAGATCCTCTCAATTCCATCAGGCTTGGTTTTATAATTGGTTAAGATAGGTCTATTTGAGATACGTCCTTGGTCCTAATGCATGACCCTTAATCATAAGGCATGGTCTTTCCGGTGTCTCGGAATGGTGAAGGTGCTCAGCAAGGTCTCTCCACCCTGGCTAGCCCAGAACTCTCCATTTCCCTCCATACTGCATGAACCTTGCTATGGCCATTCTCTTCCCTGCCTGGGAACAGCTGCTCTCTGCTAGGTCTCACCCTGTATGGATACACATCTCAGCTTCTGGGTTCCCCTCTCATAGTTCCCTCCTCCCCAGTAGCCTGCCATACAAATTCCAGCCTCTTCAGCAGCCCTGAACTCTGGAGACCCACCGTGCTGTAACAGGCTCCCCCTCCTTGGTACCCCAGGAAGGGAATGCAGGGAACAGGGAATACGCTCCAGCAGAAAACTAGGGCAAATGTGGGTCTCACCTCATGTGACTCTCTTCTCTCAAGGATCAACGTCCTGGCTGCCTGTTTTCCCGTGACTGACAGTAACTGGCTCGTGTACTGTCCAGTTTTCTAGTTTACTGAAGGAGGGCCAAGTCCAGTACCAGTTACCTCTCTATTTCTCTTGGTGCCTTCAACACTAAGTGATGCTTGTGGGACACAGAGCTGCTCTATTGGGAAGAGTTAAGAATCAAATACTTGGAGCATGTAACAAATGCTCTTTATTTAAACATTTCAAAGAAACTAACAATCTGTTTCTTAGAAACGTTATGTGTTTACTTTTATTGCAGCACTGTGGCAAGAAAAACGCTCTCTAGCAGTCAGGCAATTCTAAATAAAATGACAAGAAAGTGTCTCTGTTCCTTCCGGAAAGCTGATACTCACTTCAGATAGCCAGCTGGCTATCACTCTGACATATATTTCCCTTTATTTCCATAACTCTTCCTCCAAATGGCAAAATAAAACACTATAGTCTAGCCAAAGAATCCAAAGTTAGTTGCTATTCTTTATTTTTCTTGTTTATGTGCATGTACTTAGGGGTGAGGAGAAGACTCCTTTTCATATAAATCATTTTCTGGCATATTTCCATTTCCACTTCTAACCACTGGTGAGAAAATAATCAGAGAAAAAGTAGTCCAAAAGAAAACCTGCAACCCCAGATACAAAGTTAATCAAAAGGAAACTGGCAAACAAGAACAGTATTTTCTTCTCACATGCTGTGAGAAAAGAGGAGTTTGCCATCACAGGAAAATGGAGATTAGGCCTTTCCCTGCACAAGCCAGTGGATCTGAGCCACGGGTGCGTGCACACATGCAGCTTTCCACACGGCGCACCAGGCAGAATGGGGGACGACCCCTTTCTACTTCTTGAGCAGACTTTCTCCATATTGGACATGCACACTGCAGCCCATCTAATTCATTTTCTCTAAAGGAATCGGTGCATGGAAGTTACATCTCTCTTCGGTTTTACTCCAGGCCCCCTAGAACTTAAAGGCGAGCGTCTGATGTAAACGCAGTGTTTATCTGTCCATTTGCCTGCCTCACCGTGCAGGCACTCCCCATCCCCGGGGGACTCTTACATCAGTCTTCTCAGGTCTCAGCTTCTCCGTGTGGACCCCGCTGAGCTCTGTTTCCTCAAGTCAGCATGTGTCCAGCACTCTCATCAAGTGGTTCCCCTTTCTCAGGAATAGAGTCAGAGCCCCTGGGCTTCCCAAAGAAAGACCTCTGCGATCTGCTCCCTGCTCAGCTCTCCCCGTCACCCCCCACAACATGCTATATCCTGTGAATGAAAACCCAAGAGCCGTTTCCCCTTCATGAAAGACCCCTTCCTCCCTTTCTCCTCTTGACTAAATCACTGAGGCTTGATAACCTCTGGGCAATATGTCACGATCACCATTCAAAGCTGGGTTAGTGCCTCGACCTTAGTATCCTCACTGCACCTGTGCTAACCTTTACAATGATAACAATGTTTACTGAGCGCTTACATGTGCTAAGCACTAGGGGCACTTAGCACGCACTATCTCATTGAGTGCTCACACCACCTCTGTAGGTAGGAGCTGTTAACAGTCTACCCTGCAGATGAGCAAGGGGACAGAGAGGGTCAACAGCCTCCCGCATGCCACACAGCCAGTGAGGGGTGGGGCCAAAGAGCTTAAAGGCTTTCTATAAACAGTACTTAACATATTTAACTGAAAAACTGACAGTATAACTGGTGTTTCCAGGGAAAGGCCCAGAATGGCAACAGATGATGACCCTGTGACAGCATTAAAAGGGTAAGAGTAAGATGTGAGAAACTCATCAGAATTCTTTAGAAGAGGATGCCGTAAAGTCACTCGTAAACTAACATCAACTGTGACGCTCATAAAAGAACAAAATATTTCATCAAGACAGGGGACCAGCAATTTCAAGAATCCAGGAATATACACATGGCTCAAGCAAAAAGTATTTAAAAGTAGTGGGGGAAATGGAAAAGGATGTTCTTACTAGAAACAAACAAAAATTGGAATTCCCTGGCGGTCCAGCGGTTAAGACCCTGCGCTTCCACTGCAGGAGCAAGGATTTGATCCCTGGTCAGGCAACTAAGATCCTGCATGCTCTGGGGTGCAGCCAAAAAAAAAAAAAGAAAAGAAACAAACAAAAAAATGTATTAGGTCAAAGATTAAAAGGACTTCTCACAGGGAAGAATCTGGAATATTTGTGTAATTAAATCAATTCTATTCTCAAGAAGCTCATATACTGCACAACCAGTAGGATCGATGCTCCATGTTAGCTAGCACACGAGTAAGTAAGGACTGGGGAACGGGCAAAATCCTGTTGTAGACCATCTGGGCCCTGCATGTCACTGGTCCAGTATGTTCATTCCTGGCCCCAGGTTGTGGAGTTGGGGACCTAACGAAGGAGGCATGAACAGGACTCCCATGACCAGCTGCCCCCCAAATGGCATAGTGTAAAGCAGACAGTATGAGTGTTTCAGTACCATGCATCGCCTCACACAGGGGAGGCGTCTTCACATCGCAGACCCTGACTGTGAAGGAGGATGTACAACTTCAGGTCATAATTAATATCAGCCAGAGTCAGAGTGACCAATGCTGGGCTCCACACTTCTAGAGAAAACTGAGAACAAAACAAAACAGAAAAGGACCAAAAGTAGATGAAACCCACAGGGATGAAAAGTATGAAGCCCACAGGGCAAGTCTAACCTAGGAAAGAGAAAACAAGGAAGACTCCACCATTTAACATCATTTTAAGCACTACCCTGCTGAGAGCCATGGACAGCATTTTTCCATTCCCACTAAAGACAGCATAGAGAAAATAGTTTTAACCTGAAGTATGAAAAGTTTAGCTTCAATGTGAAGACGTTCCTAAAGGCAGAATTTTTAACAAAGGAATATGTAGTTTGTATACCCATGACATGCTTGCTATGATAATTACCAATGTTTGGGGCTCTCATATTTGTATTCAAGTAGTATTGGCGTTATGATTCTGCCTCAGAGAAGTTTCAATAATAACAGATAACACAACTGTTTACTGGGTGCTTTGCTATAGGCTAAAGGTCGCTCAGGGAGACCTGAGACAGAAGCTCAGCTCTGCTTGTGCTGTGGGCTTCACACAGTCTTGCCTGATTCAAAATCCAACCTCTTAACTACAGGGACAAGGCTTACTATTTGTAAAATGGGATAATACCTGCTTCATGAGGCTCTTGGAAAGACTCAGTAAGTTAATCATAAAATATTTAGCCTGTGCCTACCCCACAGTAAGCACTTAACAAATGTTAGCTATTATGATTGACAAATAATTTTAACCTTGCCTGGGTCAACCTCTTCTAGTTATTCAGTCTCTGATCCTATTAAAGTCAAGATAGTTTATGTCAATGAGGCAAATACAACTTCAAGATGAAAAAGAACTGGTCATGCCTTCAACCATTTCACCCATCCATATCCATCCGCTCCTTCAACAGAGTTTCACGGTGAGCCCACCATGTGTAGAGCACTGGGGCAGGGCCTGTGCAGAATACGAAGACAAAAATGACATGGCCCATAGCTATGCTCAAAGAACACGGTCATCTTATTATTAACCACAAACACTGCAGAATACTCACTACGTGCCAGGAACTGTTCTCAGCACCCTAAGTGCCGTGTGTGTGTGTGTGTGTGTGTGTGTGTGTGTGTGTGTGTGTGTGTGTGTGTGTGTGTGTGTACTCTTTTAATCCTCACAACAACCCTTTAAAGTAAATACTATTTATTATTCCCAATTTATGGATGAGAAACTAAGGCACAGAGATAAGTAACTTGCTCCAGCTTTCACAGCTTGTAATTGACAGAGCTGGGATTCAATTCCAGGCTGTCCAATTTCAGAGTCTTGGGCTCTTAACCACTCGATATATTGCCTCCTCCGAGACTTGACCACTAAGAACTAGAGCAAGGACAGACTATGATAAGGGCCCAGCAGGAACATAAATAAAGTGCAGTGCTCATGAGTGAGCTGTGCTATCTTAACACCTAACACAGAGTACGAGTCCTTTAACTACAGAATGATGTGTTCAGGCACGTGATACCAACCCAGACCGAAAGCTATCCATAAAGCACTGGTGTCTGCCACTCTGAAGGGCCCTCTTCTCAGCGATTTAACACGTGCTACAGGGAAAGAGGAGCGCTCGGAATCTGGGCTTAGAAGTCAGACATGCCTGGGTTTCAATCCCAAGTCCTCCAATACAGCCTTGAACAAATTACTTGATCTTTCTCTGTGCTTCAGTGTCTTCACTAAGGAGTAAATGAAATAATTTATACAAAGAACTTCATTCTAGTACTTGGCACTAAGGACTATATATGTAAAATAATATTATTTAATTAACTAATTAAGTACTGGTTTGCTTCAAGACTCAGTCCTAAACCATATGGAAAAACCCCCAAGTAGACAATACCAAGTTAACAGACCAAGAAGAATGCAATCTGTAGTATCTGAAATATACTGTGGATTCATTATGAATAAATATGAACTACTGTAATTTAAAAATATTATAAGCCTGTGTTTCTAAATGCTAGGGAATAAAAAAACCTTCCATTTTAAGAGATAAGAGGGGCTGCTGTATACTAAGGGCCGACTCTGTTCTTGGTCACGCAACAGTCACTTCACAGATGTCACTGAGTCTTCAGAGCCACTCAGAGGCTCGTCAAATGATCCAGATTTTACAGGTGAGGATTCTGAGCATCCCAGAGACTAAGCGATTGGGCTCCACAATAGACAGCGGAGACTGTTGCTAAAAATTAGAAGACTCACCCGTGAGGCGAGCAGGAACGTAATCTTGGGATCAGGCAGTCACTCCACAGAGCATTTCTTTGGCACCCGCCGGACTTTCACTGGGCAACATTCCATGTAATCCAACTCTCATCCCCAAGGTGTGTTCTGTGTTTTAAAGAAGCCCAAATCACTGAAAGGTTAGGATATGTCACCCATCAAAGTGACATACTACTACAGATCTCATTCTATCACCCAATTTAGTCATAATGGCCTTGGGAACATTATCAGAGAGGCGTGATTTACAAACTGCTATGGCTCTCCAAAAGTGACTAAATTTCCACAAGAACAAATTGGGTTCTAGAGCTGGGACACTGTGAAAATGAACATCCACAGCACAGCACAAAGTATGTGTCTGGGTGAGACTAAAGAAGGAAGAAGTATATTGCAATATCCTTTTCTCGTTTGGTTTATAGCAGAGGATCCTTATCACACATAGTGAAATCAGTGACTCCCGAACTTTCTTATTTGTGGTTTTCTCTGTGTCAACTCGCCCACAAGAAAAAGAGGAAAGCAACAAGAAAGTTCCCTGTATAAATTCTAAGACTTGAGTCTGCTTCTAATACTTCCAGAATCTGAACTCCATCCTTGACAGCAGAGTCCACATTTTGATCGCCACTGTATCCTCAGCACAACACACGGATGGGTATACCATAGGCCTTCAATAAATATGGGTGATGTTCACGCCCAGAACAATACAAAAATGTAGGGGAAGGAATTCCCTGGCAGTCCAGGGGTTAGGACTCCACACTTTCACTGCCGAGGGCCCAGGTTCAATCTCTGGTCGGGGAACATAGATCCCCCAAACCAAGCCGCAGCCAAAAAAAAAAAAAAAAAATTGTAGGGGAGAAAAGGTGAGAAGGGCTGCCCCAGGAAGGATCACTTAGCCCATTCAAGCAGGACTCAGCACCAAAATGCTGCTTGCAACTGAATAATTTTAAGAAATGTAGGATTTTAGGAGTTCAGATTTTCTGATTTTTTTTTTTTTGGAAGGAACACATATTAAACTTTGGGGGCAAAAAAATGCCTCCCAGCCCCTCTTAACTATTCAAAATACTTGCCGATATTTTGAAATACTTACTGGCCTAAAATATGCCTTCTAATCTGCTATTTCAGAAATATGAATCATATATGTGAAAAATTTACTGCTAGCACTGTGCTAGATATAGCCGACACAAAGAAGACCAAGACTGGGCCAACTAGAGTTTAATAGAGACACAGACTGTAAACAAATAATTACAATACCATACAATTAGAGCTTCTGGCAAAGCGAGTTGAGTGTGGAAGGGTGCAGAGGAGGGCAAGACTAAGCCTGCTGTGCATTTCAATCCCACATGTGAGGAAGGATCTTTCTTTTCCCAAAGTCCTTTGCAATTTCCTTGTCCAATCCTCATTATTTTCTTTAAAGCAATAAAGCAGCACAACCCATCTACGTACTAAGTACTTTAAATAGTCATCATGCTCCTCAAGCATCATCACACCCCCATGAAAAACTGCACATTACTTTAATGCACGCTAGTTAAATAAGAAGTTTCTCAATTAATGACCAGCCACACCATCATACTGGTTGCTAAAAACATACACAGCTTCAGCGTTTAAATAAGCTGTACCAGGATTTTCTGGCCCTAATGTTTCCTCCAAAATCCCTGGCCTTCTTATAGCCAATTAAAACTGTATGTAATTTTCTGTCCAAAAACCTTAAAGATATAAGCCAAATGAATTGTTTATCTAAAATCATCACACCATCATTAGCAGTTCATTTCATTAAATGATTTACATGCTACCCATCTGCAGGAAAGATTCGAGGCAACGTTCGATAAAAGATACATAGGCACTTGGAAGTCACAAATATAAAGTCATGAAATGAAAGAAGTTGATTTTCCAACCACAAGATAATGCTGTTGGTGTACTTGAACAGTAAAATTTCTACATTTCTAATAGGCAGAGCAAAAAGGGAAATGAGGCAGGCCACATAATTCTGATTAAAGGAAGAATAGAAAAAGGTCTTTCCCCCTAGGTACTGAGAAAGAGAATCATCTTTTTTTTTTTCCTTTTCCATTATGATTTATTATAGGAAATTGAATATAGTTCCCTGTGCTATAGAATAGGACCTTGTTGTTTATCCATTCTATATATAATAGTTTACATCTGCTAACCCCAAACTTCCAATCCATCCCTCCCCTACCCCCCACCCCCCCAGGATCATCTTTTTTTAACAATGGCTTATATAATACATGCAGCAGCATTGTCATGTGGTTTCTTATATTTTTACTATGAGTATAATATTAACGTGTACCTCAGAGAAGGTACTCAGGGAGGCACTGACAATATAGAAATAAACACCCTTTCCTTCTATCAAGTTTAAAAGTCCTAAATAAGATGACTGAAAACACATCGGGCAGGAAGGTGTCACAGAGAAGTTGGTCCCCAAAACAAGATCTTCCAGGAAAAACCAATCCAAAATTTTTTCTAATACATCAGCACTAAATAAAAAGACCAAAAAAACCCTACGCTAATGAGGAAATGAGGATAAAGTGAAATGACTACTTTGCCCCATACAGGAAAGCATTTGGCATCATGTATCAAGACCCTTAAAAGTGTTCATACCCTTTGACCCAGTTCCAGTTTGAACCTATCTTAAGGAAATAATTAGAAATGAGGGTAAAATTTTATACATCAATGTTTATCATGTTTTTACTACTAAAATTCAAAATTACCTAATTGATCAACAACAGGGAAATGGTTTAAGAAATTGTGAAATATCCACAAAACAGAACAGTATGCAGCCATTAAAAATTATATGCATGCAGAAATGCTTAAGATATAATATTAAATGAGGAAAACAGGATACAAAAATATCCTTCTAAGTATAATATAATATAAAAATATGTATATACAGGAAAGGAATAGGTTAAATATACCAAGTAAGTTGACAGCATAATGTTTTCATGCCTCTCTTATTTACCTTTATAACCACAGCAACTAGAACAGTTTCCAGGTCATGGGAGGCATGCAGACATTGCTGAATGAATCGTTTTCACCATTAAAAACAACAAATATCATTTTTTAAAATGTCCAGTCTTTTTTATTTGTGCCCTGGCTATTCACAAGAAACAGGTCAAACATTTGTTAAGAAGAGGTGCCTGTTTGGAGCACCACAGTGAAAATATCACTCATGGGGAGGGAGAGGTTTTGTCCCATCTGTCAGTAAAAAGACCACTTGGCAGGAATGATATTCATGCTCCTTTCCATCCCTTTACCAGTGTTGGGTGTGACTGAAGAGTTAGGTTCTTGGGAATTTGTATGAGTGTCCTTGTTATCTTTAATCTACACTCTGATGTTCAGCAAAAACTGACTTTCTAAGGTTCATTCCATCTACAAAATTAGAGTCTATGCTTTAAGTATTCTCAGCAGACAGAAAATGTAAAGGTTGCTGATCATGCCAGGATCATTTATCTTATTCACCCACATTTGTGACAGGAACCAAATCAGTGTAGAATTATTAAAGAAAGGAAGAGGCATCTAAATGTTTAGTTTCTTAGCTAAAATTGCCTTGTGGGTAATGTGTTCCACTTTGTTTTACTGGTACCTTGGAAGGGAAAAAAAAAAGTTTTAATCAAAAGTTTATTTTTCAAGAATATTTTTCTCCTAATTCATTTTCCAGATGGATCTCATTTGACAAAAACAGGACAAATTCTTTGCTCCTCCGCTAAACTCAGAAAAGTTTAACTTTTTAATCCCCTGGGTCAAAACCCATGGTTGGCCCACTTCCTTTTACAGGAGCCACAGGAGGATGTGATTGAGCTTTGAGCCGTGAAGGTGAGGGCTGCAGGGCTGGAGGAAGGGAGCCTGGTTCCATGATGTGCCTCAGAGGGGGGCTGGACCCCAGTCAACCGCCCAGAGGTCTGGTTTTGTTTGAGGTGCATCACCAACGCTCTCACGTCAAAAAAATAGACACACTGTCCAGAGTTATCATTACTCGCACTTCTGTGGCTTCTCCACGTGTATCACTGGCCACATCTTCACAAGATGAGCGTTCTCCTACTAAAGGGTCTATAGCGCATCTTTTTTAACAGAAGCCTAAACAATTTTTACTGAAAATATCTCTTTTCTATACTCTCTCTCTATGTTGCTGGTCTCCCGAGTTTGGGGCCCTACAATGGAGTTTAAGAAATCAAAATCTTGGGCTTCCCTGGTGGCGTAGTGGTTGAGAGTCCGCCTGCCGATGCAGGGGACACAGGTTTGTGCCCCGGTCCGGGAAGATCCCACATGCCGCAGAGCGGCTGGGCCCGTGAGCCATGGCCGCTGAGCCTGCGCGTCCGGAGCCTGTGCTCCGCAACGGGAGAGGCCACAGCAGTGAGAGGCCGGCGTACCGCAAAAAAACAGAAAAAAAGAAAAAAAAAAGAAATCAAAATCTTAACTCAGAGTTACCTCCCCAGACTTAAACAGTTGCTTATGTAAAAAGAAAAATTGCTCATGTGTCCCCGCCGCAACAGAGTGCCAGCAGCCCGAGGAAGTGGCAGTGCCCCTGCAAGCATCAGCTCCCAGCCTCACCGCCCCTCTGGCTTTCCTGATACCTCAGGATCCCCAGGTCCTGAGGGGCGTCAGCAGGAGTCATCCCTGGCTCACAAGGCCCTCTGCTCTCCAGACCTCCTCCCACCAGCATGGGAGAGCAGAGAGCGGCCAGACGTGGCAGCCAGGGACCCTTCCTCTGCAGAGTGGGCTACCAGCCTGTCTCCCCTGTTCCTTCCAAGAGGAACTGGGTTGGAAATACTGTATGCCCATTGTTTTATTAATAAAACTTTGGGAGGAGGAGTAATATATACTCACCAAAGGGAAATTAGAAGAGAGGGGACAAGGCACTAACATTATTATGTATTTCTTGCCAACCTGTGTCATTTGAGATTTCAACGAAAGCAGAATCCTAGACTATGCAGATCGCCAACCTAGACAGACACTGCTCAGTATTATGTGAACTTAGGCCTCACTTTACAGTGTTCCCAGAAGAGTGAGCAGACCCCACATGGGTGGAGAAGATTCTGTATTTCTCTAAGTGCCTCGCCCACAGTGTATACTCAAAGCTCTCAGCTCTAAACTCTAGCTAGAAT